TGTCTCGCGCTCCCGCTAATTAGCGTGTTTTTGCTCCACGTTCCCGCCGTTTAAACACGTGATTTCTCGACTTATCGTTTGGCGGGGTCGCAGGGCAAAAACATGAATTGCACAAATCAGTCACCATAGAAATGGGATACCAAAATGTGGTTGAAAAATATGTATGTTGTCAAAACATTACACTTTCTCTCAAGAGGAGAGCTATAGTAAACTGATCATACATTTTGGCATCCATTTGCTTCATTACCATAATTTCCAATTACTACAACACAGCAGCATTCTGTTTTGCTTTAATTTTTTATATTAAGTAGTTCCAAAGTTACATATTAAGAGACACTTTTAATTCAGTTTGAAATTTACTTCATACAAAATAATACGTTAATCACAATCTATGAAGTGCATTTGCTTGCCTAAAGGTCGATTTTATATCTGGTTAATTTTAATTTTCTTAATCGAAGCTATTTTTTGTAGAGAGCATACCAACAGCCAAAGAAACTGTACATTTTAGTTAATGATTGTATACTCATAAGACATTTGAAAACAAAAATGAAAGTATGAATCAGATAAAAGATGAAATCATATTTTATTTGTTGTATTCAGAATAAAGCCTTTCCCGCAAGTTATCGACTGCAAAGAAGTTATACATAAGACAAGAAGCTAGTTCCTTTTCTAATACAGGTATAACAAGTTCAGTTTTGGAGCAGCTAACATGAACTTATTATTTTTCAATAAATACTTTTTCTTAAGCATTTTGAAATTAATTTGGGAAGAGTATCATACAATTTTCCTATCTACACGTTCTTAGACTAGAGTTTTGCGTCAATTGCTTTTGTCCTTAGTACTTGGCAATTCCTGTTTTGTGTTGCGTTATTGCCCATTATTGCTCGAGTTAAGGTTTCTATTTATATGCTTGGGAGATCTCAATTCGATTTCATTTGCGGTTATATTTGGACAGTTGAACACAATGGTATGCATGTGTCTTGCGTTTGTTTTATACTTTGTGTGGGTTTAGTTTACACCAATAGAAATGAGATTAAAGCAAAAAAACAAACAACAATATTATGTACATCAAGTCTGGTCTCCTTTCGAACCTGGGTCACCCTGTCAAATATGAGCGGTAAAAACATTCCAAAACATCAAATTTACAAATTTGATAACTTCATGTACATACTATAAAATAAAAATGCCATTCTGTTTTATTTGTGTTTTATTTCAAATCTTGTAAATATTGTTAATTAATGTTTCTCAACCTGAAATTAATATTTTACAGTCTACAAAAACATTACCTTAGAGGTTAGAATATAGCATATCACAAGCGTGTTCTTTTGCATATTTAGACAGAGCCTGAATCTATAGTATGTCATTTAAAGCAGCACACCTCCAGGTTAATATTTATTTTCTTAAAAATATGAAAATGTACCGGGTATTCAACAGTATATTATTGTAAAGTAACCAGAAGAATGCAATTTACACATTATTTATGGCACTTACAACCTAGGTAAATTACTATGAGGAGGTCAAAATATGCAAAATTAGCCCTTGCTGCATTGGTAATGCAGTAGATATATAATTATACATACTGAAAAATTCAGTCATTAATCGCAAATAACATGTAAATTTTTACTAGAATTTTTAATCTTTGTACCTTTCCTAAGATCTTAGTGCATTTTTCCCAGGTTTGATTTAATCGAAATCTGGAGGCCTGCAGCTTTAAACTATATTGTATCACATTCAAATACGCAGGTAGTTTGCAATTACTCGTTTTCAAAATTTATACAATAATTTTGTTAATACACGCTTCTGATATACCTGTTTAGCGTTATACAAATATTTATATTATCACTTTTAAATTTTTTTAAAAATTGCCCTTGTAAAAACTTTGTTGTAATTCACGAAAAAGAAAAAGAGATTACCTAATGAAATCGACTAAATGAATTTTAATCATCATTAAGAAATCAATAATGATTGAAATAACCTCGACAAAATATTATGCATGTAATACATCAAAACTTATATGACATTTAATTATCATGAAATTATGAAATTATATGTACAAAATCATACAGTTAAATATTTAAAACACACATCCTCCTGAATCACTAAAAATTGAGAAAAATCAATTTGTTTTTGAAAGAAGAAATTCCATACAAAGTTTAAAAAAATACACAACAAGCTACAAATAAACATGATATGATTGTTTTTCTAATACAAAGCAAGCAAGTTTAAGTGTACCACTGCAGTTGAATTTCCATTTAAAGCCCATAAACTGAGAGAATTGGTTTTACCAATATAAATGTAAATAATATATCTAATGATGACCATGTAACTATCAGACATCAATCTATGCTTATATAATTTCATCTTTTACTTATATAGTTTGAAGTACAATAAAATCAGCCAAAGAGATATTAAATCATTTTTTTAAAGTAGTCACATTAAACCCAAAAATAAAAAAACATGTTCACTCCGCAAAACAATTTATTTTTTGATGCCCGGTTAAATTCCAAAAATAACTAATTGATCATATAGCTGAATCATCTCTTACTTCTACAGAATTTTGTAATTTACTACAATGTAAGTGATTAACATCTCTGTATGTAAGTTCACCTGGGACATATTATTACACACAACATTCATCGCTACTTTCATAAGGGGATAATCGATATCATGATCTTAACCCATTATTGACATGTTTGCCCTTTCTTAAGAAGAAAACAACGCACTCATTCCTGATTATTTAACGACAAAATATACAACATGTTATTAATCAATTATTGACATGTTTGCCCTTTCTAAAGAATAAAGCAATGTACTCATTTCTGATTATTTAACGACAAAATATACACCCATTATTGACATGTTTGCTCTTTCTAAAGAATAAAACAATATACTCATTTCTGATGAGCTAACGACAAAATATACAACATGTTATCAATAAATTATTGGCATGTTTGCCATTTCTAAAGAAAAAACAACGTACGCATTTCTTATTATTTAACGACAAAATAAACAACATGATATACACCCATTATTGACATGTTTGCTCTTTCTAAAGAATAAAACAATATACTCATTTCTGATGAGCTAACGACAAAATATACAACATGTTATCAACCAATTATTGGAATGTTTGCCATTTCTAAAGAATAAAACAAATTACTCATTGCTGATTATTTAACGACAAAATAAACAACATGCTATAAATCCATTATTAACATGTTTGCCCTTTTTCTTAAGAAGAAAACAATGTACTCATTGCTGATTATTTAACGACAAAATATACAACACGCTTTAAACCCATTATTTACATGTTTGCCCGTTTTAAAGAAAAAGACAATGTACTCATTTCTGATGAGTTAACGACAAAATATACACCCATTATTGACATGTTTGCTCTTTCTAAAGAATAAAACAATATACTCATTTCTGATGAGCTAACGACAAATTATACAACATGTTATCAATAAATTATTGGCATGTTTGCCATTTCTAAAGAAAAAACAACGTACGCATTTCTGATTATTTAACGACAAAATAAACAACATGATATACACCCATTATTGACATGTTTGCTCTTTCTAAAGAATAAAACAATATACTCATTTCTGATGAGCTAACGACAAAATATACAACATGTTATCAACCAATTATTGGCATGTTTGCCATTTCTAAAGAAAAAACAACGTATGCATTTCTGATTATCTAACGGCAAAATATACAACATGCTCTAAACCCATTATTGACATGTTTGCCCTTTCTAAAGATCAAAACAAATTACTCATTTCTGATTATTTAACGACATAATATAATATACAACATGATATAAACCCATTATTGGCATGTTTGCCCTTTCTTAAGAAGAAAACAATGTACTCATTTCTGATGAGTTAACGACAAAATATACATGGTTTTGCTTTATAGTAATCATTTAAGTTCTATTGACAGGACTGTAAGAAGGTCATGATAAAATGTTTCACTGTTTCAGAGGAAGAAGCACATTTTGTACTAAATGTATTAACAGATGATACATTCCAGTGTTTTAAATATGACATGTCACATGTACAGTCAATAGGCCTCCCGCTAAGTTTTAAATATCTCAGCTTTGTCAAGAATGTCACTGCGACAGGAACATGGTCAAGACGCGTGTAATCTAAAACTAGATAAGATAAATCGATATTATTATAAAACGCATCTGGTGCTATATACGAAATGGGATTGTGAAACAAATGTAGAACAATCAAAGAAAATAATCTTGACAAGTCAGGTGTTTCTATTGTTTTTATCTTATTACCATAAAGAAAAATCTGTTTAAGACGTTTGAACAGATTCAACGCATACGGTATTCTTTCAAAACGGTTATATTGTAAATATATAGATGTAAGTTCATTGGACGTTGGAATTTTAGTACTTTCTATATACTCAAGTGAGTTATTCAAGATATTTAACTTTGAAAGGAATGGGAACAAGGTAAAAACATTTGGAAACGTATGAATGTTACTGCTAGCTAGATTAAGCTCAAAAACGGTAGAATTAGTTTGAGTACATGGCGCAAAAGTAGAGGATATATTTGTCTGGAGATGATAAGCAAATCTAAATGTGAAAGAAGTAAGCTGACTGAGGTGGCATATAGCATTAGGAACATCCTTAAGCTTGGAGTAATCAAGAGTAAGATGTCTAAGCGTACTTTCAAATCCATGGAAAACATTAACATCTAATTGTGGATAAGGTATGTGGTTTGCAATCAATGATTCTAATACTCGAAGGTAATGAAGTTCCTTGGGCCACTCGGTGAAAGTATCTAAATCGAAGCTAAAGTAAGTCAAGCTTCTTCCTATATTGTGCATAACTAATGTATCAAGAGAATGTAAAGGGTTGTCACAAATATCAAGACTTTTTAGGTTAACAAGATATTTGATAGCCAATGGTAAAATTGTTATATTGTTACTTTGCAGCTGCAGACTTTTGATGGTTTTTGCAATCCCATTAAATGCATTGCTTTCAATCCTGTGTATCATATTTCCTTGAAGTTGTAAATCTATATCGTTTGCATTGATTGAGCTCAAATTTCGAAAGGTATCATTTTGAATAACAGTTAATTTGTTGTAACTAAAATACAGATTTATCTTATCAACGTTTGCACTAAATTGTTTAATATCCGTAATGGTCGTTAGATCTGTACTGCTGCATCTGATATCTATGCCGTCATAACTGTCAAAGCATGTGCAAGGTGAGGACACTAGGCAATCGTTCTGAAGTATGAATGTGGTAGAAAATCTCAAGTAGGCAATTATCACTATAGCAAGAATCTGAAAAGTCAAAAACTTAATTATTCTTTCAGAAGATGACTGTTTTGAGTTTAAGTTTAAAACCAGTTTTGATATGACCTTGCTTTAAATGAAATTGTCACTTTGCTATATGGACTACTACTTTAGTTCCTGTTTTGAAATTCGAGTGTTCTATATGAAATGAAAAGAAGAATAATATTTAATCTTAAGATTAAATTTAAGAACATGAAAAAACAGCAAAATTGACAATGTTGAAAGTCCGATTTGATTGAGCCTGTTCGTGAACGGTACTAGGAAGTACAAGGTACCGTCTAAGTCCTCAAACACCTACTTAATTCAACATTTCACACGAAAACGTAAAATTTCTATTTAGAAAAATACGCATATGTGTTCATAAGGCGGTAATATCACGGAACATTTTTTGAAACACGTTAGTGCCATTTCATGAAAAGAGGCTTTTGGTCCCCAAATTAACCATCGTTCGTTTTAAGTTCCATATTTAAGTACGAGCTTGGTAACATGTGCATGCAATGTATTCATTATCACTTAAAAGTTAGGTAAACTTGAAACTAGGATTTCAAAAAAGATGTTCAAGGCAATTAAGGACACGAATTGCATGTTTTTCTATAAAATCAATTTAAGACGTGATATAAATATTTTCTACTTACAGGTATAACATCACTCATTTTTATTACGCAGACATACATTTGTTTAACACCTGTAAATTCCAGTTATCTGAAACAAGAAAATGATATGTAATATCATACGTAAATAGACGACTCTTTGGTACTTTCACTGTAACAATATGTCTTTGGTACAAAAAACTTGTAGCTTAAGTACTTGCACATATCTACGTTTTTAAAAAATGAACCAACGTCACATACTTTTTAAACCAACATAACAAAATCCATTGATTTTCTTTTACCATTTGATTCTAGAAAGGTTAAGTTTTTGTCCAAAATTATATACAAAATCTTATTTGGAAAGTGGTAGATTTCCTAACGGTCGGTCTGAAGAGGTTTATCTGTATACTCTATAAAGTGATATGTGTCATGAAATTTCATACTTAAACTTGATAAAGTCAATAAAGTAAAAATATTTTTTCAGGAATAGAAACATTCCATGCCAATAAATGATTTAACAAAATAACAAAACTTTCTTTTCCTTTTTTTGCAATAAGCTAAACATTGTTCTTTCGATGCAAATTATCTGTTCCGTAAACTACTATTTCTTCTCAAAGTATTTTATAATGATTTCCCTTGAAATAAAAATTAATGTATACCTGTTTAATTCACATGTTAAATACAAAGCCTATAAAAACATTTTCACTTTGCCAGAAAGGGGTCTCGTTGGATGATTGTTGAAATTCTACAAGTATTTTAGGATGATATTGTGCCGTTTTCGTCACCAGAGCAAGGCAACAGATCGTTTTTGATTTTAAAACATGTAATAGAACATAAACATACAATATTAAAATCGGTATCGAAAGTCAGTATTACATACTTACTCAAATCAAACTATTTAGTTACTGTATCGATGCGTTGTTTAATATATACCACTCCGCTCTAAAAATTGTTCCATGCAATTGAACCGAAATTGAATTCGCTATACCTAACCTTAAATAATGCTTTCTTATCGCAAACCATTCCATTGTTCCATTGGCTAAGGTGTATATAAGTCAAATGTCATGAAATCCTGATGTTAACTCTCATTAAGATTTATAGTAAACACCAAATAATGACGTATCTTAGGAGTATGTAAGGATTTGAACTGTATCTAAGTTCTTTTCAAATCTTCTTTATTTATCTACATGACTCATGAAAATGCTTCATGAGATAAATTTATGAATGTATCGCTTATACACTAGTTCTCAAAAACCATAAAACGTAGGACAATGCACTTGGTGTTTATTTTCAAACAAAGTAATCGTGCATATGATAGTCTATGTCTAGTTTAGATTTAGGAAACATTTCTCACCTTAATTTATAAAAATAAGAACTTACCTAGGCTCGTTTATATCACTATACAAAGTCACGTAAATCCCCCCTGAAACAAATAACACTAAAATCCCGTTTCATTGTAACATTTCATTTCATTATCTGTTACAATGTTTCATTTAAAAGTTCATATCTGATAAAATAAAAAAGTTTTAACATTAAGCAACTTGTAATGAAAAAGGCAAATAGAGTTTTTAAATCAATTTCTTATTAAAACACATTTTATAATGTATCCGCCAGATATGGACATTTCATTTCACATAATATTATCACAATCTCTTCAATCAACCCATAAATTGAAAACGTTACTGGGGGTGATTGTAATTTATTTATTAAGATGGCTAGACAATCAGCAATAATTAGATATCACCTTTTCAAGTTTAGTGTTTCAGTGTCAGTATTACAGCATTGCTTTACTTTGTGAACTAGAACTGTTATGGCTGAATGACAATAAGCCGGTAATGTCGCCGTATAAAAAAGACATGTCATTGTATAAGTCGAACACGATAACGTTTACATTAATCAGTCATACCATTATGATATCATGGGTTGTGCAAGTTTCATCAGTTATCACACTTTGCATTTTTATTGCAGTCATTGAACAGATTGAACTAGTATTGTCAATTTAATGCTATTTTAAACTCTGAATTCAATTTGCTACATTTTTTTACAATTTCGGCTCAATTGTATATTTATATATTCAAATATCTTCCAATCCTCTCACTCTAATCACGACTGTACGGGTTGCCTCTAACTTAACCGGTTGGAAGCAAGTGTTTGTAAAACCAAATGTTCTTAAATACTGGTAGTATTGTATGAACTAAATTCACAAGAAGCTAAAATCCAGATCTTTGAAAAAAATATAAAAAGCAAAAAATATAAGAAAAGAAAAAATGCCTTATCTAGGAATCTAACCAGGCTTGGGTATTTACACAGAAGAAGCCAACACTCAACCACTACGCTAATATGCTGAACGGTTAAAAATGAGTAATTATTTTGGTGATTACAGATTAAGGCGATAAATAATATGCTTTTGTATAAGAATTATCGACACCCCTATTTGTCAATATTGATGTAAACAGATAATGAAAGGAAAAGCGAATTCGAGCTATTTTTGTACACCCCATCAAAAACATGAAAATAGTAAGGTGCATGCTTTCCATGCTACCTAGACATTTTGTAACGGATTAGTCAACACGGATTCATGTCAGGGGACCATCTCAAACCATTGCTGAATCTCAATTTTCAAAAATTGGAAAGAAATCGGTTTTATACTTGTGATTATATAAAAATTAACTTATGGTGCATAGCAAAAGTTGAGTGGTATATGAATACATCATCATTGCATAAAATATCGAATACCTATTGGGTAGTTATTGCTTAAGCGACTGTTTGAGTAACATCTGTTATAGAAGTCGTTAAAGGAAAAAAAAGATTTTTGACTTTACTTACAAGTTACTAACCTTGATATATAATTCACGATAAAGGGGTGTCTTTAGAAGACAAAATGACAAAAAGTAATAATGGAAGTGCCAAGAATATATATAACATGTATAATACTCAAACCAAGGATTGAAGCTGTGTTGTTCTGAAGTGTATTTATGAGTTGCTGTATTCTAAATCAGACAAACAAATGCCCCCCCCCCCCAAAAAAAAAAACAAAAAAAAAACAAAAAAAAAAAACAAACAAACAAACAAAAAAACATGCGTCATTTAAAACATGATTTGTAATTCTTAACAATGGTTCCACAAAGATTTACACAGATATTAATGCAGAAACAAACAAATTGTCTACTGTTTAGTTTAAAACTCTGGTGTTTTCTATTTTATGTCAAACTTACATTGGCATTTTCATATTCATGGTGGTTCCAATATTCCTGCTTGAATAATGTTGAATCACCCTTAGGAAATATGTTGCCTGCTTTTTAAATTTGTCTTTTGGGTCATACCTGTGATATGCAGGCTTCATAACCTCTGTTCCCCTTTCAAAATTCCATTTTATTTAGTTCCGCCCATTGTTTTCTCGTTCAGGGCTCACGCTTTCTTTTACTTGGGGACCATACGCCGCTTTTCATGGAATGGCATGAAAGTGTCACATTGAGCTGGAACCAATTTATATAAATATGCTTAGTTTTCGCCTTTTGCCACTTTTTCAAGGCATGCTTGACATTTCTTTGTATTAACATTTTTAATTGTTTCAATAAGTAAACGTTTTACTAAATTTGTCGAAAGTAGAAGTTATCTCAGGCAATGAATAGTTTACAATCTAATTATCTGCCATTCATAAAATTCTAAATACTTACAACGTCCGTATTTTCCTTAATGCATAACAGACTACAGGTTTCTTTCTAACCTATTATTTCGTTCAATAACACAAAGATCTTTGCGTGATCAACAAATACAGATGCCGATCTAAATCCTATATCAGAAAGAATTAATGAAATGCCTGTCAGTAAAGATGGGTTTATTAGGTTTGGAAATTGAATCATCGTCTATGAGAATATAAACAAATTCCAAACACGATAGATGAGTTTTATCAACATGAATTTGACAACTTACCGGTATATCTTATCGGTCTTCATGGTGATTTAATTCGATTTTTAAACCAAATGCAATGTAACAACAGTCAATGTTGTGGTCCAATGCTTTAAACTGCTTCAAAAGAACTGACCACGCCAGTTGTCCAGAGACATAAGATTATCTTTAATACTTGGCACCGCTCGTTTAACCTTTGCTCACCCTTTTTTATATAATTATATCAGTTTTAGTTAATCATATTTCTAATATAGGAATGCTTAAAACATGCGATTTAAAAGCTTAAGATTAGACACTTAAGATTATTGTGAGTGTGTGTACAATATTGGAGCAATAATCAACAGGAAAAATCTGTATAACTATATTATAACAAAACACAATATTTGAATACAATTTGAATATCAATTCTTGTAACGTATTAGGAAACGCACTTGAATTTGTGATAAAAATAATGTGAAAATTTATTCTAAAACTTAGGAACAAGATAATGAAAAATGAATAATGCATACATGTTTGTATAATGATAGCGACGAATAATGTAAACAAGTTACTCATCATTGAAATAGTTCTAAATGAATGTTTAAATGTTCTTCATGTCGATGAGTTATTGATATTTCATAAACACGTTGCAAACATCACATATGCAATATTGTAAATGTATGTTTAACATTTTCTCCCAAATTACTAAAGAAATATTTAAATAATCGTACACTGCCGAAATTTGAGACTGGAATAGGTTTACTATAAGTTTGACCCATGTCTTTATCATAGAGATATATCTTCTGTCGTACAATAATTTGAAAGTCTTACTAGAACGAATAAAAAATCTTCTATTTTTATACGCGAAATACATCAGACACAAATCCGTGACAAGTGGAGACAAAATGCCTGAAGTTATTTTAGGAAAGCAAGCATCATATTGAAAAACGAACGTCTATTTATTATCTTGTGATAACTAAGTTTGTGATCAACAGTGTATTAAATCGTTGGCTACAAGCTATGTCGTAATGGAAAAACCTATTTGTCAACGATGATTTTGATGAACTATTTTATCAGAATTCTTTTTTATTTCATTCTGTTTTGAAACTTGTCTCTATTTCTCCCTCTTTTAGTTTTGATATCAGCTTAGCAATTAAGAACACTTACATCAGAAAACCATGTTTTGTTTGAAATATGTAAGAAAATTAAATGTGACTTTTGATATGCAACAACTACCCATTTAAATTATATATGTTAAGAACGAGTAATATGGTAAGTAACATGTATAGAATCATTTGAAAAATCAGCGATATTACATTTTTGCAAGTAACGGACCCAAAAACACCGGACTTATTCTAGCTGGTTTAAGATCAGATCCTTATCTCAAAGGTTCCAAATTTGTCTTAAATACTTTAGAGAAAGCTGGTTGAGTTGATAACATTGATTAGTGAGTATTCACACGAGAAGTTAGGCCTCTGGGATTTCAAAACGGCAAACGGGATCATTGATAACAGCACTTTTAAGTGTTGAAATTTGAGTACCGCTTAAGTCGGTGCAAGTTGATGTAAAGGCTGTTGCACGTTGCATGTTATGTCGGAGCCTTGATGTATGTTTCACTTTTTCTAGCATAACTTAAGATATTGGTTCTGTCTGCGCTTCATATCTGTATACAGTTGGTACCGCACTGGGACAGAAGTTATATAGATGTGAAAAGGGGACATTTACATAGATTTATTTCAGTGTCCATGCAATAACTTGGTAAAACATGTTTCATACGTATGTAGACAATGAAGCAGTAATGAAATCACATTAATTTCATAATTCTAGAGATAACTCAGTTAAAGCATATATATCTTATTGGTGTCATATCATCTATTTAATTTAAAACAGGGTTACTCTTATGTTATATTTTATTGGTCTTATATCATCTATCTAAAATGTAAAACTATTACAAAGCATAGAAAAACATCATTTTAAGTCCTAACTTAAA